CCCTGCGCACGATTCATGGAAATACTAGAAAGGCCTTCAGATTGTAACCCTTTCTTTAAAGACTGAGGTGAAACATTATCGTTATTTCGTCTATTTTTGCAGGTCAATAACGGTCCCTCTTGAGCATTTCTTGCAGAACTCTCCATTTTGATAGCCTCGCTTTCGCTAACACCCTCCAATAAGAATTCTTCCCTTTTAGGAGAAGCTTCCTCTTGATTTCTTACTTGGATTTCCCCCACGACTACTTCACATCGATGTTCAAGACAATCCTGCGATGGCAAAATAGAAACACTTTGCATAGTATCTAAACTACTTGGTGAAAAACACTCACACTTGGTGCTGGACACTGCACCTTCATCTCCATTGTTATCTCCTTTTACAGGTACAGGTGTCAAGGTTGGCGAAAGAGAAATCTTGTTTTCAATGAACACTGAGTTGTCACGAGGACTTGTCTTCATAGAGGAGTCGGCCTCGGCAATAGTTTTTGAACAAACAGCGCGTTTAGGCTGTCCAGAAGCAATCTGACGTCTCCCTTTACAGTCTATGGTTTGATGATTAACGAGGCATTCAGATTCAACTAACTGGGATGACCCTTGGTTGGTTGTAATAACATGATCCTGCTCAGTTTCATCTGCCATCGAAGCTCCATCTACCGCCTGGGATGTTGAACCTTAGAATTTCAACACAGAATTAGCACATTAGACGTGTACGTGTATATGCACATGAAGATCTTAAATCACACACTCTGTACACACTATATAAGTACTAAAAATGCCGTGGCTGGGGTTGTCAAAAATATTTTGAGTAACCAGACAATGACACAAAGTAGGAGGCACTAAAGGTCTAAGGTCTATCCACAGCGAAGGGCTCTGGGAGCTAAAAGCATTTGGAGCAGCCAGCATGTTTTATTGAGTAGACAGTATAATGTGCCGGTTACTGGCTTATTTTGACAATCTTGCATTGCTTATCATAATGAGAAGAAAAAAACAAAATATTAGCAAAAACGATTAACAACAAAACCATATTCACAATGATAAAAACACATTAATTAAAGCACAAGTGTACATATCAATAGATAAACTTTCTGACCTGCTTTTAAAAGTGGTTGGAATGGCAACGTATCTATCATATGAAGTAATTCTTCATTGACAGAGTTTCCATTTGTGTTTTCCTTGAGGAGATTTTTTGGGGCCGTTCTTCTGGAGCTTCTTGTCTGTCTTGTGTTGAAAGACTTCTTTGACTTTGCTTTGTTTGTTGCTTTTTCTGTTGATATTGGTCCCAGCATTGACCTAATCATGTGGAGAACATGATAACATTCAAACGGAAAAGACAAAAACCAAACATGAGGAAAAAAATGCTTGATGCCCATACACCATAGTTGCATCTCAAAAGACTTATTTCTTTCCAATCCTTTCCTTTTTTTAATTTAAAATCAAATTATGGGCAATTAATCATTAACTGACAAAGAAAACAAAATTGTAACTGCACATGTTCATAGGTTTTATCAAATGTCTGTTCACCAGTTTAAACTTGTACAGTTAACTTTAAATCTCACCTTATGTTGACATTAGACACAGCTTCAGGCTTTTTATTCTGCAGAGAATGGTCAGCATCATCTATAGTTTAAAATAGGAATAATCATAAAGAAAAGTGGTAAAATGATCCTCACAGACACAGGTCAGCTGTAATTGAAGAAATTTCAAGTACTGTTAAAAGCCAGGAAAAATTCAGGCTTTAACAGGATTTGAACCCAGGCTTCCCAGATACTACCACCAACAGAGCTACAATGTACATGTACATGTATATACATGAATCCACATGTTGGGAGCAAGGCAAAGCCTTGTAGGCTTTTCACTCCCTTAAAGGATCTAATCATTACTAAATTAAATCAGTAGTAAATAGTCCATTGAATATTACTCTTCAAGGTGAGCTGCCATTACAGAAATTGCAAAAGAAAGAAGACTAAAGAAACTTGGCCTGGACAGGATTCCAAAGTGTGCTTCCTAGATACTAATTGTACATTACTACCAACTGAACAATGAGGAAATATGTTAGGAGCAAGGAAAATGTGGAAAGGTGTTCTAATTACATCAGACATTGGAGAATTATCTGGCTACTATGCAAAATTCTGTAGTTTAAATTTGGTGGCCAGAGCTTCTTTCCCTCAGATGTAAATATTGTTCTTCTGATATACTGTGCATTATCATATGACCTGTCTGGCTTTGACTATGGTTTTCTATATGATTCATGAGCCCTTCTGAGATTGAAGGGTTAACCCATTAACTCCCATGAGTGACCAAGACAGAATTTCTCCTTGCAATATCAATACAATATAAACCAGATAAATGATGAGAATAAAGAAGAACATCAATTTGGAGATAATTAGTTGATCCAATACTAAATTCTCTGAATTAACATTATATGAACTTTATGATAGATAGTAGGGAGAATTACAAATTTGATCTGGGAGTCAAAGGATTAATGTTGAAGTATGGTGTTAAAGCATGTGAAATGAACCAACTTTTACACCATTTTTCTCAAATTTTGGAATGAAGGATGAAACACAAACCATTGTCATCAACATATATGCTGAAAGGACTCTTCCTTCTGGAAACTTTCTGCCCTACATTTTTCTGTTTGCTGACACATTTTTGTGGGGTTGGACAATGAATAGAATCTGGATCAACACTTCCTTTATCATAGACTGTAATAAGTGGCTTGAGTGGCTGTGAAGGTGGTGAGCCTGAAACAAAACAAACACCATATGTGTATGTAATGGTACAATACAGTGTAAAGGAACAATAGTTATATATCAAAACACTGCCAATTAGTCAAAAAGAATTTACACAGATTTTAAAGATTATTGCCAAGATCCTTAATAATTAAAAACTTTTTAAAATTTCAGGAGCTTTTAAAAACCATTGAGGATCTTGAAAGGAATTTAGCATTTGATTTCATGAAACTTCCAGCACAAAACTCCCCAGGGATTGTGAAGAAGAAACCCCCCTTGCAGACCCAGAGTGATCGCCCTGAATACTCACAAATATTTCTCTTGGAAAGAGCACTTCCTAACCGATGAGGTAGCCAGTTTGACATGTTGCAGTTCTTACCTGTTGGAATCCCTGTATCTTCTTGAATAGCTCCCTGTAAATTACGCACTGCAGCAGCAATTTCATTTAGTCTAGGGTTTGGTGTAAGGCTCCTACACACAGTGAGGAAAAAGAGAAAAATTAAAACCTCTCAATTCATTTTTGTAAATAATAAAATAAGAATGTCCTAATTTCCTATGGCATTTGCATGTGCATTGTGCAAAATATTTCAAAGCTCAATTAGCCCTATTGCAGCCAACATGTACCACTACAATTCTGTTCAATGCTTTTGCTAAAACATCACTGTTGATGTGATTTCAACCAACCCAGCTCCCTGCACAGGGGAAAAAATGTGTACCAAAAGTTCTTTGTTTTTGCTTTGTATTCCATTTTTTTAAATGGACTAAAAGCCTGTGATCTTTGTTTGCTTATTTGACAAAGCTGTTCTTTTTTTCAATTCATCCATACATAGACATTCAAAGTAAATGTATTCTTGTAAATGTAACAAGGAACAAAGATTCAATCTAGTTTAATTAAAGAGTAAACAACAAAGAAAGGATATCAATATACCTTTTAGAAACTGGAGTCTTGCAGAGTGGGCAATACCATTTGTATTTTGACTTCTTACTGCTCTTTTCAAGAACTTGCTTGATGCAATGACTGTAATTTTTAACAAAAAAAAATATTAAACAAGCTTCGGTTAGCCACAAAAACAGTTATTTAAGACTCATCTATTTTTTTTTATCAGTGACAACAAAATCAGCTTGTGGAAGTATTGCACTCATCCAGCAACATGTCAACAGCTCTATCTCTGAAGAAGATCAATTAAAATTTGATGTAGATACTGTAACATATTACAGGTTGATTGCAAAATTAGCTTTCATATTGAAGTCACAAATCGAAGCTAGGGGGGCTCTTGCTCTACAGTCACACTCCAAGGAGCTCCTGGCTGGTTTGCACAACCCTCAACCCAGCCACAAGCCCCCTAAAATCACCCTTCACGCTAGAGCCAGATGGCCCAGTGGAAGGAAAAAAACACTAAATAAATAAAAAAAAAATTAATCAATGAATAAGGCTGTTTCCAAATTTTTGTTCAAATACATGGATCTTCTGGGGCTTCTCCAGTGACAGATTTAAGTGAGATATACCCTGAGGAATAAGTATTTTGGCGATTTGTCTTCCTAAAGGACAGTAAGAACAGTACATGTAACTTAGAAAAAAATTATAGACTGTAACTGTAAACAGTGTCTTACACAATACTTGCACTAAGGTCTTTCAAGCAAGAAAAGATGTGGAGAAGAAGGACACAATGTGTGAAATGGAACTTTATTTAAATATCGTGTAAAAAGAAAATGGAAATCCAAAATGAGCAACTTATTGTACTTGTTGACAAACTTGTATAAAGCTTACATGTATACGCATCGTAACTTACCCACAAAACTGGTGATTACATTTCGTTGAGTGAGGATCCTTCAACAATTCAAGGCTATTAAGAAGTAATTTTGTAATATTATGAAGAATTCAACGAGATAAAATGAACAACTTACTCTTTTAGACCTCAAAACATTTAGGTAAATCGCAAAAGACAAATGTTGCATAAGTTTAGGAGACGCTAAATGCATTCATACCAAATCGAACACTCCAGACTCTTTTGCATCTGTTGAAGGGCATCCAAAACATCTTTCACTATCAAAGACATCTTTGCTTCTATACCGAAAGGACTTAATGAGTAGAAAACCGCTAAAACTTTACTAAAAACTGAGAGATACAACAACCAGGAATATTACGAGGCGCCATTTCTTGAAGTTCGCGCCTGGGAATCTTGGTTTCCAGTCTTTGACGGCCATGAACTGACAACTTTCGTGACGTCATAAATTTCATCTTTCTTACTGCTGACTGCTGACCAGTTTCGAACGAGTTCCCTCTCAAGTCATCTGAAACACGTTCAAGTTAGCGCTCGGCAGAAAGATCCGTAGCCTTTTTTTAGCTCGGAGATGTAGTCCAAAAACGTCAACCATGGCCTATGTCCAGATTGATTTTGAAGATCTCGAATTCTTCGAGAAATGCGGTGGAGGTGCGTTTGGCTCTGTCTATAGAGCGAGGTGGAAATCGCAAGATAAAGAGGTAGCGGTGAAGAAAATCTTGAGTCTAGGAAAAGAGGCAAGTTGTAATCAAATGGTTACACGCGGTAGGAAGTTGCATGACCCTTTGTCAGTCAAGTCTAAACGCATAATCTTTTGTTAGGAAACTAGACATTTGGACCAGACTTAAATCAAATTTTTTTAGACTTCTCACAAATTACATGCCTTTGAAAGGCATGTGCATTTCACTGAGGTAAATCTCGCCTATGTTCTAATTTTATCACCCCGCTCTTGGAAAGTTCACGCTATTTTCAATTTTAAGCCATCTTTTAAACCATAAATGTGTGTTTACCTGTGAGATCGACAATGTTTTTTTAATTGTACTCACTCGCTTTACAGCAACGATGTAATTTAATATTGTTGAGGGTTACAATTCACAGTTGTGTTGTCCGTCCCAAACACATGGCTTCGTGATCTTAAAGCATCTAGGTGTCGAAGCTTACAAGTCGCTGTAACACATGTTGATTTATTTAGAATTGGGTTGATCTTTTAACTGACTGATGCTGTTTTGAGATGCATAATTCTATATGAATTGCACTTAAGTTTTTAGCGCTTTTGACGAGAGAACATTTACACGCTAAGATCTCACTCAACATGTACTTAAGGGCTTCCTTTTACTTACATGTAAGTATGTCAAAAGCAAAATCACCTTGTCTCAATCTTACCTCATTTTCAAGTCAAGAGGCAGTCATAATTATCGCAAAGACCTCCATGTAGAGATTTGGTTGAATGATACATGTTGCCGTGTGATTGTATTCGGCTTGCATTTCGTTGTTGTTCTTTCTGAAAGACTCCAACTCAGTGCTGAGGTTTTGTATCATTGCTACTTGAAATTAATGCTTCACTTCAGTCAAGGGTAGTCCAAGTATTGAACTTTGAGAATCTTCCTCTCTTAACCCTAAGCTGTCATCTTCAAGATGTTTATATACGCACTTAAATTTATTATGGCGTGTGTTTTAGGCCAGTATTCTGAGCATGCTCAGTCACAAGCATATCATCAAGTTTTATGGAGCAGTAAATTCTCAGCCCAACTTTTGCCTTGTGACAGGTGAGCAGCTTAATTAACTCTAATGTGTCTGCATGATGACATTTTTTACCCAAAATTGAAGCCCACGACTTGTTTGTAAAAAAATTTTTATTTACCATTGCCACTTTTTTGTTGTTTCGATGTGAGTGCTCGTCAAATTTCAGTGTTCTGGGAATACTTTCCAATTAAGATTTACTGGTGCAAGCAAGGTTTGGGATTCAAAATGGGTGATTATAATTCAATATTTGTGAGGCAGCTATATGTATTATAAGCCTAAGCATGTACAAGGCTAGGTATAGGATTTTATAACAACATCCATTTTAACCCTGTTTATGATAAAAAAAAAAGGCTTCAATATGTGTTGATTAAAGATAAAGACAGTAGCTGATCTCCAAAAGAACTTTAATTCCTTATTTATCTCGCAAGTTTCTCATAATTTCAAATTTCAATTGAGATGCTAAAGATAATGGTCCATTTTGCCAAGCCTTTGAACAGGAGTAAGGCTAAGGTTGATCTTGTTATTACACAAACCTTGCTGCTTTTCAAATGTAAATTACTTTGTTATCATGCTAACGAGATTCTGGTCTCTATCACAACAAGGTCGCCTTCAGCCTCCAAATCAAAAGCTTGGTAACTAAGTACACAACTGTAAAATGGCTTATTATGTCTCATTATTTGTCTGATAGTGTATTCACTACAAAGTATTCACAAGAATGCTAATCACCGCAGGAAACCCCAAAGACTTGTATGTAAGTAATGTATTAGTGTTGACTATGTTATTCCATTATTTTTCAGAATATGCTGCCAGTGGATGTTTGTATGATCATCTTGCAAACAATAAGCTTAATTTTGACCAGATTCTACAATGGTCCACTGAGATTGCTCTTGGTAAGCAAAAGTTCATTCTAATTGAAAGGGGTTTCTGTGTGCAATGAAAGTTATTTTCAAACATTTGTATACAACACAGAATCACATTGGTGGCATTGACCAATTACCCAATTTTCTCAAGCATGTATCAACCAGCATGGGATATGTAATAGCCCAACAGGTAGCTTGTTAGACTTAGCAGGGAAGGGGGTAGGATCATTGTGTGACATGTTTTTGGGAAAGACACTTCAATCCCATTGAGAGAACACATCAAAGTATCTCTATGAACCACCAGGCACTTTTTAAGATGATATAAGTTGTGACAGGTAATAGTTCAAAGAAACCCAGTTCTGGAGTTATCTGGTCACAATTTCTATCAGGGATTTATTATTTACAAGTACTAATAACAAATAATACATATTGTGCAGGGTACATGTATAATATTCAATGTGTTAATAAACACCAATCATTTTTATTGTTCCCCATATATTTACAGGTATCAATTACCTCCACAATGAAGCCCCAGTGAAGGTGATTCACAGAGATCTGAAGTCAAAAAATGGTAAATATTTTAAAATATTTGATCTTGCTCAATCAACAGCCTTATGAACTAGGCTCAAGAAACAGTGAGTTGTTACTGAAATACCTGTAAAAATGAGATTGATGTCAGTGGATAATGAAAGCTTGAAATTGCAATACCACAATCAAACTAGATTATCTTAAATTTTACACCAAGGTGAAATATTTCAAAGTTATTTAGAGTTACTACTTGATGATTTCAAAAGATGTATATATACATGTTGCACATTATTTATTGCAATTGATGTTTCCTGATCTTGAGTCAGATGTCGTTTTAGCCTTTGGAAGAAAGTCTGAGTTCAAATTTGAATGATATCTGTCAGTTGATAATATTATTATATTGGGTGTAGTAAAATACATTATTAATGATTGATCTTGGATAATAAGCAATGTAGTAGTTATTATTATCGTCAGGAAAATAATTACCGGTAATACCTTTAGTTAGCTTAGATATTATTAAGTAACTTTCCATTTACAATTTAAAGCTGTATAAACTCACTTTGCCTTAACTGTTTTGTTTTGCAGTGGTGATTTGCTCTGACTTGACAGTCAAAGTAAGTGTGGATGTATTACAGTGTACAATACAGCAAGATTCATGAATCATACTCAACAATTGTACCTTTAAGAATAGTGTGTATCCTGAGCATGTTTTATAACATGAATGACATGACTGGGCACTTTGAGAATTTGTACATGTATTCTACTTTTAATATATCACCTGCCTTAAAACATTCATGTACATGGACATGTACCTTCCTCATTTCCATTGCATAGAAGTAACATGTTGATATTTACATGTAAATCCTGATAGCAAGTGGGATGTTCTTATTTTCTCAAAGTTCATACTGCAGTATATTTACAAATGACTGTTTAGGTAACATAAACAGTCATATAATTTGATATGATATTAGATGTACATGTGCAAAAGTCATGTAATTAAGGACAATGGCTCCAAACTGCAATTTCACCAAATAAGTAAGATAGTGCAATTTTGAAATGTTACAGATCTGTGATTTTGGCACTTCAAGATTCCTTAATAACACAACTAAAATGTCTCTGGTGGGGACATACCCATGGATGGCTCCAGAGGTAAGTAAAACCTACTTATTATTTTTTTTTTCTTCTCTTCACCTTTCAGTGTCAGTTATTGCTAGCAGAAGTTCCTTTTTGGTTACACTTGCATTTAAAAGGGTTGAATGTCACTTCACTGTAGCTTTCAGCTATCAATTAGAGCAAGGTCTCAGTTTGAGTTTATTGCATATACACATATTCAGACAAATAATAAATTTAGACTTATTTGTTGTATACTCAGGTTATTCAAAGCCTGCCAATATCAGAAGCCTCTGATACATTTTCTTATGCTGTGGTGAGTGAATCATGGTGCACATTCCAGATTATTGATATACGTGTAGTAAAGTTTATTATTCTGTATTCCAGAGAAGCTGGCTTACAATTGCACATAATTATGTGAGCTACTCCAGTATGGGAATTGGTTTTTGAATGGACTCATTATGTGAGTTTGAATGAACCTTGTTTTTAATTATTTTAGGTGCTGTGGGAAATGCTTACCCAAGAGGTACCATTTAAAGGACTTCTTGGTGTCCAAGTAGCATGGGTGGTTGTGCAAGAGGAAGAGGTAAATGAAAGAGATTTTGTAAATCCAAAAAACATTTTGAAATTTAACCTTTTGCTCCCTAATATCAGTATGCAATTTCTCCATACTGATATTTTTAAATTTCCTAAGATGGTGACATGGAGAATATGTTAAACAATCAAGAGCCCTTTTTAGTTGGTGATCATTTCCCTTATTCTCATGACCTTAATGTGTGATTCAGGGTTGATATTGTTGGGAGAAATTACATGCTAGTCACCCTTAGAAGTCAAAGGGTTAAAGAAATACGTGTTGATGTATGTATCAACAACATACAGGCTATTGTCCCTGAAGGACACACATTTAAGATTCAGCCTCAGACTGCTCCCTGTAAATAAATGCCTTTGCTGATGATAATGTGATCTGGTTGTTTTAATAAATGAATAATAAAGAAATAATTAGACAACAGATACTTGGTATGCTCGTCAGGAGATTACAAAAACCACTTTTTATGATAATGATGACAACAAAAGCTATGGCAGTAATGAACTTGTCAAGTGTGGTTCATTTTCATTGCAATTATTTTCCAAAGAACATGGTATTTTAGTTTTAAATATGCTTTACTTTTCTACTTTTTGAATTATTCTGAGGTGCAAATTTTATGTTGAGTAATTTTTAAAAATGTGTCATCTGTACAGTGTAATTGATTTCTTCATCTTCCAGAGGTTGACCATTCCAAGCAGCTGCCCAGAAAAGTTTGCAAAGCTGATGAAAAAGTGTTGGTTGACGGAACCAAAGGTAGTCATGACTAATCCTTAGTAGTTCTGAATGTTATGGGTGATAAATACATGTTTGGTTATATTTATGGTTTGGAGTATTATCAAGGAATACAATCCTTTAGTCAGTGGCCAAAGCATTTGTAGAAATCTTAGAGTTGATGTTTTGAAGTCAGTTACCCTTATACTAACTAATGAAGAAATAGAGGAAGAACCAGTGAAGGAATTAATGGTGCCTTGAAAAGGGACTGTCCTGATTTCTACATAAATGAAGAGCAAAATCCTTCTCTATCAGCATTTGAAGTCAAAAGGTTTAATTTAACCTTATTAAAAAAATTGACTGTCTTCACCAATAAGTATGGTTATATATATTGATTACTAACAGTATTTTCATTTGGAGAAGGAGGGGGGGGGGG